GAGGGGTAACCCCGATTTCAAAAATTAATTGCTGCTTATTTCTCTTCATCTCCTCCCCCCCCCCGTCTGTCTCACTTCACTTCATCCCCTCTTTCTGTTGGTAAAAACAGAATCAATCTTGGAAAGTGAAAATCGCCTCTTTTCCTCACCCCTCTATACTCTCTATTGGATAAAGGAATATACAGCCGTACACTCCTCCTCTCTTTCATGGAAAGCTGCTGTATCATCCTTTCCTTCATTCTTAATCTCCTTTTTGGGCTTTGATTATTTTTTTCAGGTGCGTTTCCTCTCTTGTAGACCTTCTGTTTGGTGAGCTTGTTTCTCTATTTTTTTCCTTTTCCTTTTTTATAAGCCAAGGATGAATTGCATAGAATAACAAGAGTCTTGAGAAGAAGTGAGAGGAAGAGAGAGGGGAGGAAGAGGAGAAACCATACTGCCACATTTACAAATGTAGGGTGTGTGTGTGTGTGTGTGTGTGTGTGTGTGTGTGTTTGAAGTAGGACAGAAGGTACACTAATCGCTATGCGTTTTAAAGTCCCAGTGGAAGTTTCTCTTAGAGTGTGTATTAACCTCTATTTCACTCTCTGTTTCTCACCCTCCCTTTCCTCCTCTTGGGAATCTCTTCCTTTTATTTCCTCAACATCACAAACTGAACTGCCGTCACATCCTATTGAATTCCTTCCTTTACGTTCCACGTAACCTCTTACGCTTGATCTGTGTTTTACCAGACATTTTTCTTCTTGTTTATTCTCCCCCTTTTATAAATCCTCTTGTTGGTCTTTAACCCCTCGCGTGCATAAACCGTGCATCCTTCTCCCAGTCTTCTTCTCTGTGTCTTGCTCTGTCCTACTCAACTGGTAGCATGTCTACCCCAGTCTCTCCATCTCCATCTCTGTCTCCCCTGGCCCTGTCCTCCCCATCTCCCTCCTCCTCCCCGCTCCCCTCTCCTCTTTCTCCTCCCCCCAGGCTGCCAGTCTTCCAGAGGAAGGGAGCTCTCAAGCACAAGAGGGTCATTGAAGTGAAGGACCACCAGTTCACAGCCCGATTCTTCAAGCAGCCTACTTTCTGCAGCCACTGCACTGACTTCATCTGGTACTTCACACCTTTAACACTGCTGGCCACATCAATAACTCCTAACATTATTATGCTGTAGACCGATACTTCTACCTTAACCTTTACACTGGACTGCATTTATGTATTGATTTAATCCTAAAATCTTAATGCCCATATCCTGATTCATATCATAACTCACTCTCAATGCTGTACTGGCCTCGTCATGTACTTTGTAGTTCATACTGAATTGTTATAATCTGAAGCTTCTTCAGATACAGTCAGCCATAACAGTAGCTCATTATTTATGTATTAAAAGACCACATTTTAAAGTGTTGAGCGTTTATTTTTATTAATTTTTTTAGTTATTTTCTTTCAAATCTTTTTGTACTACACTATTGTTCAAAAGTTTTGGGTCGGTAAGATTTTTGAAAATGTTTTTGAATAGAGTTTCTTATGCTCCCCCAGACCACATTTGCTTAATCAAAAATGCAGTAAAACCAGTAATGTTATGAAATATCATTTGCATTTCAAATAGCTGTTTTCTAATGTAATGTTTTGTTGTGTAATGTTTTTAATATGTATATAATTTATTCTTGTGATGGTAAAGCTGAATTTTCAGCAGTCATTACTCCAGTCTTCAGTGTCACATGATCCTTCAGAAATCATTCTAATATGCTGATTTGGAGTTCAAGAAACATCTCTTATCATTATCAGTGTTTTTGTAACTGTATGCAATGTAAATGTCTTTACTGTCATTTTTGATCAATTTGATTCATCAATGCTGAATAAAAGTATTAATTTCTTTAAAAAAGAATTATATCTTACTGATCCCAAACTTGGATGGTGGTGTATGTACAAAAATTATATTTTAAAAATTGCTATCTTCCAATAAGGCATATTTCCAAATAGACCATACATAAATTTATGCCGAAATGGAACTTAATCAGGTTTGTGCTTGAAAAAAAAATACCAATGTGGTAAGAATAAGTAATACACTTAATTCAACATATGCTGTTGTCAATTGTGTAAAGAAGTTAATTTATCTATAAATATTTCTAAATTTTTACTGGAAAACAAGTCAAAAGAATTGACATTTACTAAAAGAGTTGACATTTATGAGTACACTTTCGATGACATACACAGAGAGGGCAGAAGAACACTGTCCCGCACGTGTGTTACATGACCACGCTTGTTCTCAGTTTCCTCCATGCCTCATAAAACTCATGCCCTGAGGGGCCTCCTAAATTATGCAGTCCTCTCTGTTTGAGCTGCCATTTAACCACAAGCTCCACAGAACACGCTTAGAACTGCAACCGGCCATATGGCCCATGCATTACCCGCATATAGACCTCATGTTGTTCATTAGAACAACTCAAATAGCTTCTGATAGATGCATCTGTTTCTCTTTCTGTCCTTTCATTTCAGTTCATTGAAGTTTATTGGTATGTCTATTGGAATACAGTACAGCATGTCCAAAGTATTGTGAAGTACATTTATATATATTTTTAGGTTCATAATTTTCATGAACTACTCAAAGCACTATTAATCTACTATATGCAAGTGGTATAAGTACCATCAAAACATTTAGGGAGATTTTTAAGGAGAAAGACAAGACATCAGACTTTTACCATTACAGGGGCAACTGCAACAAGCCAAGGAAAATTATTATTATTACCATTACTTTTTTGTAGTTTTTTTTAAAAATGGTAATATTGTGAAATATTATTACTATTTCAAATACTCATTGTAATAATTTCTGATCCTTCAGAAATAATTTTAATAGGCTGATTTGCTGCTCAAGAAATTTTTTTTATTATATTGATGTTGAAAACGGTTGTGATGCTTGATATTTTTGTGGCAACCGTGATATATTTCTGATCCTTCAGAAATAATTTTAATAGGCTGATTTGCTGCTCAAGAAAATTTTTTTTTATATTGATGTTGAAAACAGTTGTGATGCTTGATATTTTTGTGGCAACCGTGATACATTTTTTAGCATTCTTTAACGCATAGAAAGTTCAAAAGAACAATGTTTAATTGAAATTAATTTTTTTACAATTTTATATATTTTTTTAGTATATTATTAGTATAGTATATTTGTTTCATAGGGTGAATTCAGGTCAATTCACCTGTTTTTTGGCATTGAGATGACTGTGTGACTACTGCAAAATCTACCTAAACTAACCCTACAGTATAAATCACTACTGAATCCTATTAACTTAAATCCTCTTTTCCCTCTCTCTGTCTTTTTGCCCTTGTCCTGTCTCAACCTATATTTCTGAGTATATGTTGATGTTTATGGCTCACAATCTCTCAAACCTTTTCAACTGGTCTGAAGGATGCTTATAAAGAGCCGTAGATAGTCTCAGATGCATTTCAGAGCAGATCATACCTAAGTGTTGGGTGTCAAAGTATCTTATTTTAGCACTTGAGGGATTTATGCTAAGTTGTGTTTTGCATAGCAAAGATATCAGGAGCAGAGCAACCTGTTATTATGGTGAACTGAAGAGCCCTTAAATTGCCTGTCAGATGAGGATATTTTGAAATGATCTTATCTGTCATGGCCTCAGCAGCTTATGTCTTCTGTTTGCCCTCTGTGCTCATACACATACACTACACTACAGCGCTCTATGATCTCCTCTTTTCACAAATCTATGCAATTACACACAAGATAATTAGACGGCATGATGTGAGTTGTTATTTATGTTTTACAGGGGAATTGGAAAGCAAGGATTCCAGTGTCAAGGTAATCATTTTGAATGTATAACACACATTTGACCATATTTAAATTTATTCCACAGATTCACATTCCACAGACAAGTGCAGAAAACACAAAATAACTGATTCCGCCTGGGACTTCTTATCGTCAAAGTCTTTTCATATCTCATTCATAGCAGTCTGTCTTTTGTTTTCATGTACCCTTTTTTAATGGGCTACTTATTAAATAAGTAACGTTAATTGTTATCATGCATGAAGATCCAAGGATGTAACTAAATTACTCAATATTTAAGGGAGGCCAAATTTAAAGTGTAGGCCTCTATCATTGAAAAACCCATCAATTTGATCTGAATATCGATGTCTGTAGTGGTTATGGCCCAGTGAATATCTGAAAGTGTTTTGCTGAATCAATTAATCTTTCACGATAGGTAACGTAAGCTGAGGCAGCAAAATCTGAGCAAAGCCATTTTTTGACCTGACTTCAAGTCCAAGCTTGTGGTCCTTTCTGATCTCGTTTCTCTCTCTCTCTCTCTCTCTCTCTCTCACTTCTCACTTTTTGTCCGCTCTCTGTATACTGTCCAGTATTAATAAAGACAAAAATGCCAAAATAAAAAGGGTTATAAACTTAAAGTCAGCATGAAATGACAATTCACCGATTTTACAAGCATGTAATTGATCTTATTGTAAAGGAATCATTCATGCATGTGTATTGTTATTATTATTATTTTTACATTATTACTTTATAATTTTTTGTTAAAATATTATAATCATTTAGTCTGCTTAAACTCCACCTCTTTCTTATAATCAACTGCAAGCTCACATTCAGATATGCCTCCATCCAATTAATAACAAATGGATTGAACAGTGTCCTTGCCCTGTATTTATTTATTTATTTATTGATAATCTGTTTCACTCGGATACATGTCACAATACGGAAGAAAAGATCTGACGCTACTTCCATTACATCACTACATTAAAAAGACCTGTACCAATTTAACATATTCCCTCTATTTAATCCCACTATAACAGTGTATTTTTGCTGCATCATGATTTGTATCATGAAATATGACGTTTAGGGCCAGATTTACTAACAGCTTGCGCCAAACCCTATCTGCTGCAAACTACTGTCAGGATACGCATTGAAACATTAGTGATGAAAAGGCGTGGACACATTTATGTTTGCAGCTGACCTGATTGCATATGCATTTGTAAGAGTTTCCCTTCCAGAAGCAAAATTTATGGGAGGAGAGTGTTTAAATGAATCATGCAGGGTGATTTACTAAGGTTTGCGGTAGTCAGTTTATTGGTATTTACGCTATTATTTAACGCCCAAAAGAAGCATGCACCAATGTGATTATCATCAGCTCTGATATAGTATGTGTTTACTGACTAGATATGGTATGTGTTTCTTTTAGTGTGCAGTTTTGTGGTGCACAGACGCTGCCATGAGTTTGTCACTTTTACTTGTCCCGGAGCCATCACTGCTCCCAAAGCAGAGGTATGTATACTATGTGTGTTGTTCTCTGTTAATTTGTACAGTATAGTAATAAAACAAACGCACACCTTTTAGAGGTGCAAGTTAAAGGGGCAAACTAAATAAAGAAAAAATATAACTGCACACTCACTTAAGCATCGTTTATTAGTTACCAACATTTCGGCAAAACAAGTAGCCTTTGTCAAGGTATGTAGGTAGTAGGTAATTTGTACAGCATGTCATCCTTTTGCCATTTAGCATTATTTTTTTTGTCCTATAACTCTATATTATTTTTCTTTTCCTTTCATTATTTTTGCTTGATCATCGTATAACTCTTCTTTTCATGCTTGATGTTCTGCTATGATCACAGCAGTTCATCTTTTATTCTACTGTATCATCCATACCCTATCCGTCTCTCGCCTCTTCATTTTCACATTTTTGCATGGCAAGCCATTTATTTTTTTGGCTGAGTAAGCCAATATGGAAGTAGGTCTCACCGTCACAATCATCTTTTCCTTTTCTTGACGAGCCTTTTATTGCTCTCTCTTGCATACCTTCTTTAAAAGAGGTGGCTTTAAAGGAAAAAGAATATCAATTTTCCCTCTCTGTTGCTCTCTCTTATTCGTGCTGCACTAACTGATATGATGGTGTTACACTGCTACTCACACTCACGTAGTGCAGAGTGTGAGTGTGAGAATATGTGTGAAAGAGAAAAGCAAGGAAGGGGCTATATTGTAACACACTTCCATTGTTCCAAATCCTAGTTAGCAGCCTAAGTAGGCAGCTCTTTTCATCAAAGACATCATGGGCTGCTTCCAAAGGTTGTTTCAAAAGGCAGACAACTTAATTTTGCTGCCTCCAAATATACTTTCTTTATATCTCCACATCTTTTGTGGGGAAGGCATTCATAAATGTGCATTATAAACGTACTGTATATTTCATTCAATACAATTCAAATGTTTAGAAAAATAATTCAGTGTAATTAAAAATGGATTATCTTACCCAATATCTGTGTTTGTATGTATTATGCATAATATGATATAATATAATATAATCAGTTCATCCTTTATATATAATATAATATAATACAATTTGATATAATATAGTTATACAATTATATTATATTATATTGTTAAGTTTATTCACTGTTAAGACCACATTAACTAAACTTTTTAAATGATTTGTACATATACAACTTGTTAGCATTTACATTTAATTCTGCTAGCCATGCAAGGATTTATAAATGACTATAAATTGTACTATAATAATATTATTATTCAAGTAATTTTATTATTAGTATAACTTTTCAATGACTTGAATTTTTCAAACTTGTGGGAGTCTCTTGCTATATCCTGTGTGTTGCAGTCATTCCTACATTGCATTGTGTCAATCTCGCTGAAAAAAATTAATCCAAGATGGTGGACAAAGTGAGATAAATGTTGATTATGTTGCATATTTCATTCAATACCAAAAAGTGTTGAAAAACTTGTTCAGTGTACTTAAAATTTATTTTTTAATGTATTTTATGATTAGAGTATCACACTGTTAGCTTAGCAACATGCTTATGTGAGACTGGTTTGAAATCAACATGAAAGTGAAGTAGTGTTTGCATGGCACATGGCATGTAAAGCATTCCAAATAAGTCACTTGTTAAGATGCTGTCTTAAAAGGCTGCTTCCTATGTAGGTAGCATGGCAGCATACTAGTTTTTTTAACAAAGCTACAGTCTTTATTTCACCCTCTCTTTCAGGAGCATAGTTACAACGTTTTATGAGATTTTTTTCATAAGCACCTAAAAATATTGTTGTAAAATGAGGTAACAGAGGAGTGCTTGTGTATGGCTGTGCATGTGCGACTAGGCTGTAAGGAAGGGTAGACAATGATGCATGTGTGAAAAGCAGATGAGGCAGACTGACAGAGAGGAAGAGAAGTGGAGAGGAAGATTGTCAGAGGATGAAGAAAAGAAGCAGGCAGCATGCAGAGAGTGAGAATGAGGGGGAAAGAGAGAAACCATGGCGGGGTGGAAAGGGTTTAGGCATTTAGGAGGATTCAGTTTTCACAGCTGAGCTGAACTCATATATTCATCCACCATTCATCCTCAAAATAGCCCTAGCTAATTGGCTCCCAGTGAAAAAGTCACTTCAAAATGAAGCCTTTCCTCTGGACCTTTAAAGAGAGAGAGAGCGAACTAGAGGGAAAGTAGTGCATCTATTTATTTGTGCATATGCTTGTCTATGCATAAAGATAGTCCTATTTGTAGAGCAAAGAACAGTATGAGAGGGTTTCTTATCATACACATAATTTAAGTCTCTTTTTCTTTCTCTCATGGCCAACCTACTTCCAAGAACTGAACTGGGTGTACATGGCGGCCCTCTGTGTTGAATATAATCGCATCAAAGTGCTTTTTCCAATAAACAATTAAATAATTAAATGAGTACAATGTTTTTCTTTGTCCCTCTCTCCAGGATCTCAAGAGCAAACACAAGTTTAAAGTACATACATACTCCAGTCCCACCTTCTGTGATCACTGTGGGTCTCTGCTCTACGGCCTCATACATCAGGGCATGAAATGTGCCAGTGAGTCTATTTATATAGAGATCCAAATGAAGTTCATCTAGACTGTAGACTGACATACATTATATATATATTATTTTATTTTATTTTACTGTTAAGACCACATTAGCTAAACTTGGAAGTTTTTGAACAATTACTTGGTAATTAATTTACTTGAATTCTTGGTGCATGTTAGGATTTACAGCGTAATCCTGCCAGCTGTGCAAGTATATATATAAATGACTGTATTTTTCATATTTATTCATTTCAATTTCAGTTACATGAAATATTATTATTAAAACTTTCAGTGAATTATGATCTGACCAGATTTACTCATTTTTAAACAAAAGTTGATTATTTCATTTTTGGTAACATTCTTGGTAACACCTTTGTGATTGTGCGCGCGCGTGTGTGTGTGTGTGTGTGTACATGTTTTTCTATCCCGGTGGTGACTTAAAACTGAATACACACCAACTCATGGGGACTCGTGTCACTGTGGGGTCCTAAATTGAGGTCCCCATGGGGAAACAAGCTTATAAATCATACAGAATGAGTTGTTTTCGTTTTTTTTGGAGAATGTAAAAATGCTGAAATTTTCCTGTGAGGGTTAGGTTTAGGTGTAGGGTTGGTGTAGGGTGATATACGGTTTGTACAGTATAAAAACCATTACTCCTATGCAGAGTCCCCACAAGGATAGTAAACCAGACGTGTGTGTGTGTGTGTGTGTGCGCGCATGTGTGTGTGCATGTGTGTGTGGTCCTACTATTTCCTACATTATGGGGACCAAATGTCCCGACAAATGTAGTATATAGTAATACCAGTAAATTTTTACGTTGTAGGGATATTTTTTGGTCCCCATGAGGAAACAAGCTTATAAATCATACAGCAATTGTTTTGAAAATCTTAAAATGCAGAAAGTTTTGTGTGAGGGGCAGGTTTAGGGGTAGGGTTAGAGTTAGGTTAAGGGGATAGAAAATACATTACGCCTATATGTCCCCATAAAACATGGAAATCATGGTGTGTGTGACATTTGTGTTCTGACCAGCTATGCAGCTCATTTTTAAACAAAACAGTATATTTGTAAATTAACATAAACCTTGATTAAGAAGTGCTGTGAAAATTGTTAATTGTTAGTTCATAAATGCAAATTATTGATCTTATTGCAAACAATTCATCCATGCAAATGTTTCTACTTTTAAAATTAATTAATTATTTTATTTATTTAGTCCTCATAATTTTTTAATCAAACTATTATAACTGGATGTTCCGGTGAAATGACAGACTTCACTCTGGTGATATATGCAGGACTTCTCTGGTCCTCACAAACCTCACTTCTTTCTTACAATCGACTGCAAGCTCACATTCAAATGTGCCTCCATCCAATCAACAACCAATAGATACTGTAGATCCAAGTTTTTGATCATCTGTATCACTCAGAGGTACATTACAATTTTAAAAGAAAATATCTGTAGCAACTTCCTTGAATTTTAACAAATTTAAATTTATTGTCTCCATATTAGCCATTTTTTATTACCTACCATAAGCACTACTGTAGTGTGTGCAGCCTGCAACTTTTGGGTTGCCTTCCATAAGTTGTGGTAAAAACAGAACAGTTGTTGGCTCAGATTTTCAAGTGACTATCCATAAAGCATCATCATTGTGCCCTTGAGCAAAGCACTTTACTCCATTTTGCTCCAGGTGAGATTATCCCTGTAATAGGTGTACTGTAAGTCACTTTAGATAAAAGTGTCAACATGCAATATTCAGCCAAGAGAGTGCTATAGAAGCCTAGGGCCATCTCAGGTCCACAAATAAACACATCGAGCTAAAAACAAATGTTCTTTTTGACACCATGGCGTCACAAACAGCCAAATCTAAAAATTTTGTAAATGTCCTCTTAGTCTGGCTACATTCCCAAGTCTTCCTTAGTGAGCGCCTTAATTGTGTCACTTTCATAACACATCCACAGGAGGGCAGTGTAGTACTTTGTTGAAACAAACTATTCTTGTGCTCTCTCTCTCTCTCTCTCTCTCTCTCTCTCTCTCGCTCTCACTCATCCCATCTTTCTCCTAATTTCTGAAGGTACCAGATGCTGCTCTCACGCCCTCTGTTCCTCTTGCTCCTGTTACTGTGACGACGCCTGTTCCTACTGTGACCCCTCCTGCTCTGAGTCCAACTCCCACTGCACTGCACACGGGCAAAGGCCGAGTCAGGCTGCATGATTTCAACTTCCTCATGGTTCTGGGCAAAGGGAGTTTTGGCAAGGTGCTTGAAATTACATAAACTTTTTTCATACACATATACACATATAGTGGGATCCAGAAGGCCACAATGAAAAAGTGGGATTCAAAATCTAATTTGAACCTGGAAATAAATAAAGTTTCCGGATTTTGAAAAATGAGAAACAATGAAATGCTGTGATGCAAAATGAACAGTGCATGCTGTCACTAAAGCAAATAGCAAATTTTTCAGTTCAACATTTCACTGACATTTGGACCCTGCTGCATGTGTAATAGATTGTTATATTTCTCGTCCTGGTTGTCAATGGAACAGAAATCTTTAAAGGAAACTCTCTAGACTCAGACTCAGACAGCACTCCCACAGTCCGCCCACTCTGTTCACTGACCGTCTGATGCATATTGAACACCAAAATGGCAAGCGCTGACTATAATCAACAAGTTTCAGTCTGTTTGGCTGAACTTCCGAGAGTAAAGACACCATTTTTTTTTATTAGTCTGTCAGTAAACAAATTATATTTACAAGGTAATGAGTTGATACAATGATTGCTTTGAAGGACAAAATAATGAGTCTGGCAGCTTAGAGACATCAATGACAAATATATAGATTAGTCCCTTTCAAGTTTAAACTAGATTAGTTACAGTGCAGTGCATTGCATTGGCGTAAATTTAATCATCAGCCAGATTTTTTAAAACAAGTGTTGTCCGTATGCTCAGCTCGCACATGTGCTTTGAATTTTTTTGCGCTAATTAGTTTGTCCAACACTGGCCCAAGCTGTTGTTTCAGAGTCAAGACGGAACGACATCTACAAACTGCTGGAGACAGCAACAATAATAGCTGGTGACATTGACAAGCTCTTGTGTCAGGGGGTTAAAAGGATACTTCACCCAAAAATTAAAATTCTTTCTTCATTTACTCACCCTCATGTCATTTCAAACCTGTGTGACTTTCTTTGGCAGAACATAAGAGAAGATATTTTGAAGAATGTTGGTAACAAAAATTTGTTTTGGCTACCACTGACTTCCAGTGAAAGCAATGAGCAAAAAAAATAAAACTGAGACATTTATCAAATTATCTTCTGTTATGTTAGAAAGTCATATAGGTTTGAAACAACATGAGGGTGAGTGATTCCAGAATTGTAATTTTTCTGTGAACTATCCCATACAGGAAACTCTAGTTTAAACGGGTACAAAGAATTTTTTATCGGTCATAAGGAAAGAGAGAAATAGCACAAACACTAGACAAGGGTAAAACTTTTTAGTGTGCATGTGTCAAATCAAATGGAGCTTACTTTGAAAAACTGTTGCTGTATCTGAAATCAGATCCTGTACAGTAGGTACTGCAGTTGGGGTACTTGAACTTTGGACTTGGACTTGAACTCGAACTCTGACATGGACCCGGACTTTGACTGCAGTTATGATGTTTGTTTTAGGTACTTTTTGCTTACTGTTTTATGAACACTATGAATTTGAATTTGGACATACTACTCAGCTCACATACTGGTTTTTATTTATTTATTTTAATATTTTTTGTGAGTTTTGGCAAGGTGCTTGAAATTACATAAACTTTTTTCATACACATATACACATTTTTCATACACATATACCACCACAAGGTGGCAAAACTGGCCCAGATTGTTGTTTCACAAAGAAACAGCAGAGATGGAACACAAACTACAAACTACTGGAGATCGTAACAACAATAGATGGCCATGTTGACGAGCACTTGTGGTGAGGGGGGTTAAGAGATAAGTATACTTTCGTCAAAGTATACTTTGGGCTTCAGCCTAAGTAGGTGGGTTTGGGACAAAACAGGCTGCAAAGCAGACCAGATTTTTATGCCGAAAGTCAGGCTACATGAGACTGCACTCACCCGTCAACAAACACGTCTACTTGCATGTTCCCTGTAGATGCAATAAGGAGTGCAAAGGGTACAATGTCCTTGGAACTGAATTAGGCCCTTGTCTCATTCGTTCCTGGACTGCTGCTGCTAATTCAGGAAGAAGGGGAAATGCTAAAGCTTTGGTCCCAGCTGCAAGAGGAGGGGGTTGATTCCCCTATCTAAACTTTGCAGCTGTGGCTCTGCCTCACTTCCTCTAGGAGGCAGAAACTCTGACTAAAGGCCCAGTGAGATGCAGACCTCATTCACCTTAAAATACCTGGAGCTATGTAGGCACACGGTCATTTCTGTGTTCGGCCAATCCGGTTATGTGATAAATAAGGCTGAATTTGTGATACGTGTAAGAAACACCAGGTGACTGTGAGTTCAAGAGCAGCCCTGGGAATGATTAAATAGTCAGCGCTGAGCACACATGTGAAGGACTCTGATCTGTTTAATCCCTGAGGAAGAATGACATGAGAGAGAGTGTGTGTGTGTGTGTGTGTGTGTGTGTGCATTTTGCACTCTCTTGTTTGAGCGTGTGGAGGAATGTTTGTTGCCTTTGTTGTTGTGCTCATGTATAGTATATAAAATCATTTTAAAGTAGATGTTGTGTGTGCACGAGTATATCTGGTGTGCAAACACATGTGCGCACACTTTGTGTGTGTGTGTGTGTGTGTGTGTGTGTGTGTGTGTGCATCCTCACAAGATATTTGGTTATATAAGAGGCCAGGGTTATACTCAGTAGACAGCACATCCTCCAGGGCGTAGAACCATGCTAAAGAAAGGATAGAAACGAGGGAAGAGATTAAAGAGAAGAGCAGAGGAGAGAAACCTGGGACCCAGAGATAAAAAAAGACACAAAGCAGGGGAAAAAAAGACATTAAGGGAACAGGATCACTGAAGTAAATGAAATGAAAGAATTTCTGTTCTTTTTTGTTTTTTGATTTGCGGTAATATTCCCTTATGCATGTTAAACTCGCTTTGAATTATGTTTTCTGCTCTCGCTTGTGTTTGCCCAATTGAGTCGCAGCTGTACGAATGTGAGCAGAAGATGATGAACTCTTGATTTTATTAATGCTCAAGAAGTGTTAGCGCAAGGTTTCCTTGTCATCCCGCAAGGTCCTGTTGGCAGAGGAGAGGGGCAGCGAGCGCTTGTTTGCGGTGAAGGTGTTGAAGAAAGATGTGCTGTTTCAGGATGAGGACACAGAGAGCGCCATGGTGGAGAGAAGAGTGCTGGGCCTCGTGGGGCGACCTCACTTCCTGACCTCCCTCTACTGCGCCTTTCAAACCGAGGTCTGTGTGTTCATCGATGTGTGTGAGAGCGTGTAAATGGTTAATGATTAAAAGAGAGTGGGAGCCTGGGGACGAGGTTTATATATGCATATGCACATTTGTAAATTATGAAATATATATGGGCTGAAATGTCATTCGTCCCTTAGTGATGGAACAAATCTGCTCTTCACCTTCAGGGCAAGTTTTAAATCGCATTTTTGACCTTGCACAGCTGGAACACGAGTACTGACATTTTATGGGGACACATGTCCACATGTGGTCTCCCAGGGCAGAAACTGGCTATTTTTAAATATGAACTTTGGTTTTGTTGTATTGGTTGATAGTATACTGACACCTAGTGGCAAGGATGCAGCATCACACTAAAGTTTTAAGGTACTGATGCCATTCTGCAGGTGATGGTGTCTGTTAACACGGGATTACCAAAACAAAGCAAAGCATGTTGGATTTACCATAACTACGAGATTCTGAATTGTAAAAAGCATTTATATCTTTATAAAACTCACAATTACAACTTCCGACTCTTTGATTGTTGCAATGTAATGCTGAACCAATCAAAATGATGGCAGCGTCAGCAGAAAAATGTTGTAACTGCTAAAAGTAGTTATCATGTATTATTTCTGTTTAATAATGCCTATAATTGACTATTATTTATGTCTTAAAAATCCAAAATTTATCTGAAAATGAACAAAAGACATACAATATAGTTTAATGTAGCTAGTGGTTTTGTCTGTTATTACTCAAATTACACATTTGATTTTGATGAAACACATAATTCAGAGACTGAGAACAGCCTAGAATGTCCAGATTGTCATCTAGTAATTACGGTTATTAAAAAAATGCCATGAACGCACCTAAATATTCACCTGGGCATGTGATTTCAAAATGGCCACCCCTATGAGTTAAACCCACTCCATGTAAAATAAAAAAAGCTTTTATTAGGCTACTAATACACCTGGAATCTTCACCATATGTGTACGTCATATATCTAAATAAATATTCTTTAAAATGGAAAAAAAAAACTGCAACTATTTTGAGGTTCCTACAGATTAATAACTGTATCAGCTATGGAGTAAAGCTGTTTAATCATAGTAAAAATGAAAGCATCACCATAAGTATTTTTCTCTTACCTCATTAAATGGTTGTTTACATTGGCTTAGATTGGGACCCATAGATGAAATGAATTTGCCCTGAACAAAGCAGTCTTGAGAGGGAGACAAATCATAATATTTACAATATTGACTAACAGGGTTTATAAAATGTCAACATGAACAATGGGTGAACAAAATAACAGAAGCTTCTGACAATGTAATAATTAGATTCTTGGAATGCTGTCATGTGAGTCCCAAACTGGCAACCTGGAACAACCTGTGTAATAAAAGGTAATTCGTTGATCATTTTGTCTATTTCACTCTGACATGATAAATAATTTTTGTACCTAATGAATCTGAAGGGCCATTTTTTTCAATGTTAGTTGCCTCATTTTGCTTTGAAAAATGACGTTTCATAGTGCTATTTGTCTGACCTCTTTCAGCAGACACGTATTGCAAAGTGGCAATCAGCCTAATGAAATACATTGGCAGCTGCAGAACTGAAAGAGGGAAAAAGATGAGTGTGTGTGTGTGTGTGTGTCTGGCTTTAATGGTTTGTGAAGGTATGAATTACTCTTGTTGAATCACTTAATTTTTTTTTCTCCCCTGTCGATTGAATTTGTAACAAATACTCAAGTGTTTGGTAATGATTTCTTTGTGTAGCCTATGTAAACTGTGTCTCATTGTATCAAGTGCATGAAATAGAGTTTCCTGTCAAAGCTATCAGTTGCCCAGTGGAAAAATGCAGCATCCCACTGATCAGAAGTTCAAGTCCTACAGACACCAGATGCTGTAGTCAGATGCGTCTGGAGATAAAGTAGGCTGTTATCTTGCCTTGGCTGTAGGTGACAAATACTGAAGCAACAGAGAAAACTTGCTGGTCTCAGCTTACAACACAGAGTTCACGCAATTCATTGTGCAGGGTGTGTAAATTACAGTTAGATTTTCATTATTACTCCAGTCTTCAGTGTCACACGATCCCTCAGAACTAAGCATTTTGATAGATACTTTAATTTTGACACTTTACCCATACTTTAATGTAAGTATAATTTCTGTAAAAATTTGGTATTTCTGCCATTGTGTCATCACAAGGTCTTATTTCTATTCATGAACTTTTGTCATTTAATTTGACTGATTGCTAATCTGCTGTAACATTTGCTGTATTATTTACTTGCACAGCATGAGAACAAGCGAACTGATTGATGATTCATTTTTGATTCCTATTAGTAAAACGAAGTTGCATATCTGCTGATTACTGATGATCGGTTTTGTGTTGTAGGATCGTCTGTATTACGTCATGGAGTACGTGAACGGTGGTGATCTTATGTTTCACATCCAAATCGTTGGCAAGTTTAAAGAACCGCATGCAGCGTGAGTTCAGCACTTCTCTTCCTTAACGTTTTATCTTAAAGGATTAGTTCACTGAAAAAATGAACATTTTCTGATAATGTACTCACCCTCAGGCCATGCAAGATGTAGATGAGTTTTTTTCTTCATCGAGAAATTTACTATTACATCACTTGCTCACCAGTGGATCCTTTGCAGCGAATGGGTGCCGTCAGAATGAGAGTCCAAACAGCTGATAAAAACATCACAATAATCCACAACTATTTCTTTAATCCCACTTGCTTTTTCACTTTTTGTACTGTTGAAGTACTTCCTTTCTTCTGTTTCTAAATTCACCTGTTTAGGATCTTTCTGTCTTGCAGTGGAAGAATGTGTTTTTAATGGAGTTAATGAGAGATTTTCTTGTTGGCAGGTTCTATGCTGCTGAGATAGCAGTGGGTCTGTTCTTCCTGCACAACAAAGGCATCATATACAGGTACAAGACATGATGACAGTCTCCTTCCACAAGCAGACCATATGTTACAGTCACTTAATATTCTCTCTCTTTCTCTGGTCTGCAGAGATCTAAAGCTGGACAATGTCCTGCTGGACAGTGAAGGACACATAAAGATAGCAGACTTTGGGATGTGTAGAGAAGGCATTATGGAAGGGGACACCACTCTGACCTTCTGTGGCACACCTGATTACATTGCACCTGAGGTTTCCTTTACTCTATCTCCATCCTTTCTCCTACCATCTGATTCATCTGCTCTTCTCCATGACCTTGGCTCTGTGTTTACATGAACACTCAGTGGATGTGCGCAGTCAGCACATGTCTGCGTGTATGTGCATCTACATGTCTCTGTGTGATTTCATTTAGGTTCACTGCGGTGTTTACTACACAGCGACATGATGGACATCCCGCTCAAGTGATGTATGTGCTAAATCGTCAATGTTTGTGTTTTGCTGTGTGATGGAAAGGCAATGTGAATGTGGGTCTAGCGAAGCCCAGTATGCATCAGTACTGTATCACATTGTCACATTGATCACATTATGTAAAAAAAAAAGACATTGATCTTTGTGTCCCTGTCATTTTGAAAAGATGCAATATGTGTCCCTGCAGGCAAGGAAATTAATCTCTCGTTCTCACGCTGTGACGCACACTCACGGCTGACACAGAGACACTGGCATATTTATTGTGTAATTATCTTTAATATGATTTTCATGAGCTTATCTGCACATTGAGAGGGCTGTAATAGCATCCATCTAACTATGTAATGGGAATATTCCTAATTTATATGATTTTGAGAATATAACATTATGAAATTGGAAGTATTTAGCAAGGATGGGCAAAATTTTAAATTCATTTAAGAATTGGCCTTCTTTAAGTTAATGAGATGGAATGTTAGTTTAGTTGGTCACGTTCCACAGGACGTTGAATTGGAATTTAAATTGGAATGATGGGAAGTGGAATTTACTGAATTGCAATTCAAAGAAATTCAACAGTCATGAACAGAAGAACAAAAGGACAAGAACAAACCTACCACAACTTACCTAGAGCTCACTTAAAGTTTCCGTCTTATCATCCTGCTTCATGTTGTTTGGCTCCATTTTGAAGAGTATTCTGTGAAGTATCTTTTTAAATGTGTAATATGAAAATGTGTAATTTATTAAATATAACTAGTATGCCACTATTTAATAGCTTGGGTTCACTAAGTTATATTAAATATCATTTCATTTTACTTCCTTAAATTCAAACTATAATTCTACATCCTGTTTGCTACCTCAATACAAATGAAAGAATTCAGTTGGAATTCAAAAGGCATTCTCAGTTAACATTTTGGGAAATCTATACTAAAAACCATTATAACAGATCTGTGTTGTTTTCAGATTGTGGTGTATCAGCCGCCTGCTTCATGTTGTTTGGCTCCATTTTGAAGAGTATTCTGTGAAGTATCTTTTTAAATGTGTAATATGAAAATGTGTAATTTATTAAATATAACTAGTATGCCACTATTTAATAGCTTGGGTTCACTAAGTTATATTAAATATCATTTCATTTTACTTCCTTAAATTCAAACTATAATTCTGCATCCTGTTTGCTACCTCAATACAAATGAAAGAATTCAGTTGGAATTCAAAAGTCATTCTCAGTTAACATTTTGGGAAATCTATACTAAAAACCGTTATAACAGATCTGTGTTGTTTTCAGATTGTGGTGTATCAGCCATATGGTAAAGCAGTGGACTGGTGGTCATATGGAGTCCTCCTCTATGAGATGCTGGCTGGGCAGGTAATTTTTCATCCTCTGCTTCCCTGAACCTTTAATTTGGTCCTTTTCTCACTAGATCTTCATCCCCGGCACCCTTTCCCTCTGTCTCTCTCTTTTCATCAGCCTCCTTTTGATGGCATAGATGAGGAGGAGCTGTTTCAGTCCATCATGGAACAGAGCGTTTCATATCCTAAGAGTCTCTCTCGGGAGGCTGTGGCCATCTGCAAAGGGGTAATCTACTTCCTGTTCTTTCATCTCTGCTGCTTACATACTTGGCTCGCAGTGCATGCACAGGGCAATCTATTCCATCTTTAATACTAACATAACCTCCAAAAAATTTACTTAAATTAGCATACAAGTGTATTTCCATCCTTTCTGTTTTTCTTACTCTCTTTCTCCATCTGTTTCTCTCCCAGCTCCTCACCAAGAACCCTGCTAAGCGTTTGGGTGGAGGAGAGGATGCAGAGAGAGAGCTGCGGGAGCATCCTTTTTTCCGCTGGATAGACTGGGACCGGCTGGAGGGACTGGAGATACAGCCTCCCTTCAAACCCAGAAGTGTCAGTATCACCTGTCACCACACCTGTCTCTGTGTGTGGGTCAGGCTTTACCCCAGAAATGCCCCACAATGATAGTAAAAATGTATGGATTATTAAACATACTCAATAATGTCTCACAACAATATAAAAATACAAAAAAACTGATGGTTCAGCTTAGGGGTAGAGAATATACAAAAATTAGCTAAATAAAAACAATAGAAGTAAATGGAAACTCCCCACCATGATAGAAAAAAACATGTATTAAATAATAAATAAATAAATGATTCGTTCAGTCAGTCATTAATTGCCAAATAAATATATGGATGGAAGGATGGATAGATAGATTAAAAAAACTATATATTATGTACATTTTACACTAAATTAACTTTTACATTTTTTATCTATTAATTGTAATTAGCTTTAAATAGAACCAATAGAAATCGTGTTATGTCCTCATTTTCTTAGGGAGATAAATGTTGTATAGTATGTGTGTGTGTGTGTGTGTGCATGTTTGTTTTTGTTTTTGTTATTTTAAACCCGTAACCATGTAACTGGAAGTTTACTGATGCACTCTGCCTGCTCCTCCTTATTATTTTCAGTGTGCATCTGTGCATGTGTGTGTACACATTTACTGGTGTTATTTTGTCTTGTACGCGGTAAGCCTGGCCTTCATTGCCTGTATCTCTTTGCCCATATTACTCATGCTAATCTATGTGGATATTATGCTGTGTCAATGTATGTGAGCATAGCAAATAAGTAGAGGTGCTCTGAGTTCACAGCGCTGAACTGACGTCAATAGCATCCACTTAATTTCCTTGATATTTAATAGTAATAACCTTAACCCAGTTGATTCTTTTTGTCATTCCCACAGGGAGGCAGAAAAGGAGAGAACTTTGATAATTTTTTCACATCCGCCCCCTCTGCCCTCACGCCTTCTGACCCGGATGTTCTTGCCGCCATAAGTCAAGAGGAATTCCAAGGCTTCACCTACAATAACCCCGAATTTCCCCCCTCACCCCTCATAGCTGTCTGAGAAAACCTTGATCAATCCACACCAACCATCTTTTGACTTTTTCTGCTTCTGTTCATGATTTAAACTACAGTGACCAAAAAAAAATAATGTGTAATTTGGCTTCTGCTTGCTTACAATAGGAGTCTGTCTTAATTAGACCAGCCATCACATTCTAAAATGACACCACATTGATTTTAATAATCTTAATGATAAAACAAACTAAGCATTAATAATATTTAGCCGGTCCACTTTGAGAGTATCAGCCTGAATTATTTAGGGGTCATGCATTCATGTCATCTCATTGGACAATAGGATCTTATTGGATATCCCTTTGGATGCTAGTAGTTGCCATGACCTAATTATAACTGAGTGCACCATAGAAACCAGCATGAACATGAATTCCCCCATGTTTTAAAGTTCACTTCAAGTTGATTATTTAATCTCAGATCAAACTAATCCGGTTCTGCTTGTCTTTGTGTAAGATCCTGTTTGCTCTGGTTTGGTTTAGGTAACTAAATAAGTGCAGACAGGTGAGCAAACACCGGTAATCCTTTCATCTAACAACTGGTATAGAAACTCAGTATTATGATTTAGGAGTCACACACATGATGGCTAGAGGAAAAAAAAAAAAAGATTAATGCTTCAGCATATAAACTATTTGTTTTTGACATGAATGTTAGTGCATACCGTAGATGCATCTCTGTAGATGCATCAGAATTCAATCCAAATATGATTATATACAAACTATAAATGTTTGTGTCATCTTAGTATTTTACAAAAATACGTTTTTGGGATCCATGTTATTAATACAAATGACTTTATGAAAAACACAAATTTAGATATTTATGATTTATCCCATATATTTATATGCATATATATATAAAGTATGTGCAGTGTAATATAAAGTATATTTGTTAATGTTTATTCAAAATTCATAATAGACATCATCAGCATAAAATGAAAATGCGCATGTCATCATGTTTTGCAACCTCTAGGTTCAAGAAAAAGCAGTCCCAACTGTTATAAACCAAATATTTTGTTTATAGTGCATAGGATTGATTAAATTAAAGTATTTCTTATTATATTACCAATTTGGTCTCAAAACAGTGTCAATTTGGTCTCAAAATCTCACATTTTTGGGTGAATTCATTGACTTATTTCTAGTATGAATATGGTTATTTAATTTCAATTTATGTATAAAGCACAACTAAACACAACTACCGTTGACCAATGTGCTGAATAATATCAAAATAAGTAACCATTAACAGAATTAAAACAAAGACAAGGTCACAAATAAAACTTCAAAATGCAAGGCAAAGCAAATGCAAATCATGAATAATAAGCCAAATCAAATAAAAATTATTTTAACCTAGATTTAAAAATGGATAGTGTAGGGGCGGTTCTGATTTCTGTAGGAAGACTATTCCAAAGTCTCGGAGCAGCTAAGGCGAATGTTCGATCACCCCTAGACTTGAGTCTGGTTCTAGGTACCACTAAGAGCCTTAAATTGGCAGACCTAAGCGCTCTTGCAGGTTGGTGGTCTATCAACAGATCAGAGAGGTATGAGGGTGGTAAACCATTCAAAGACTTAAAAACCAATAAGAGCACTTTAAAAGTAATCCTATAGCGCACAGGTAACCAATGTATTGAAGGACAGGGGTAATATGCTCACGCTTTCGAGCTCCCATCAGGACTCTGGCAGCCGCATTTTGAACCATCTGAAGGCAGTTTAAGGAAGATTGACTGATCCCCAAATAAAGATAGTTACAATAATCAAGCCTTGTGCCAGGGGCGCGGGAAGATGTTTTTGGTTCACAAGTAAAATTAATCATGTTTATAAAGATAAACATGGGTTTATTATAGCCCACTTACAATTTACATTTCAGAGATCATTACAAATAAATTATTAAATGCTAAAACTAAATAAATTTAAATGAACAAACTTTATTAAATGAACAAACATGTGAAAACAGGGGGTGCTGCAGCCCCCTCAGCACCCCTACTTCCCGCGTCCCTGCCTTGTGCTGATAAAAGCATGGATTACTCTTTCAAAATTAGTAAAAGAAAGAAAGGGCTTCATTTTTACCAGTGTTCGCAACTGATAGAAGCTTGACTTCACAACTTGGTTCACTTGTCTATCAAGCTTTAAGGCACTGTTCAACACCACACCCAGATTTTTCACGTACGGCTTTACATAAGGTGCCAGAACAGCATGATTTAGATTTGGTATACAGTGTGTATCAGAAGGGGTAAAAATCCTAATCCATTCTTATGTTTCAAAGGAAGATATATTTGTGTGTCATCTGCATAACAATAATAAATTATACCATACTTCTCAAAGATAGATCCGAGGGGAAGCATATACAAGGAAAATAACATGGGAGCTAGAGTAGAGCCTTGAGGGACCCCACAGGTCAAAGATACAGAAGAAGAGTGAAATTTGCCAATATTAACTGAGAAAGTCCTGTTCGTAAGATAAGACTGGAACCAATTTAGGGCTGAACATCTAATGCCCACTACCTGGTCTAAGCGGGACAGAAGAACTTTGTGGGGTCTACAGTGTCAAAAGCAGTGCTCAAGTCTAAAAGTACAAGTGCTACAGAATCTCCAGAGTCGGTAGCTAAAAGAATGTCATTAAACACTTTTAAAAGAGCCGTCTCAGTGGAGTGAAATTTTCTAAAGCCTGATTGGAACGCATCAAAAATTTTCGACCAAGAAACTTTAGAGTTGATGAAAAACTACTTTCTCTATAATTTTTGCTAAAAATGGAAGATTAGAAATGGGTCTAAAATTTTATAAATCAGAGGAATCTAAATTAGGCCTCTTAAATCTGGGTTGTACCGAGGCATGTTTTAAATAGTCAGGAACAACCCCTAACTCCTATTTAGACACTGTGAGGTCTCAGAGATCAGCATGCACTTGCCTTGCATATTGAAAATCATGATGCCTGACCTGGAATGACCTGAGTCATTGACACTGTGCCCAAATTGTCCATCTAATATAACTTGAAAGTTGCACTGACGACAAAATACTGCCAACAGAAAAGTGGGAACATTTTACGCATTACGTGGGAAAGACAGTTTAGGAGTGGAAGGTTAAGTAAAAAGACGTGTGAATTTGGAATGGAAATAATCGAAACTTACTTATTAATTAATAAAAAAACTGATTACTGTCTGATCATGGTCGACATTTCCCAGCCTTTAATTTCATCGCCATGTTGCTGATCTTGTGGTTATGTAAATTGTATATTTTGTAAATCAGGGTGTTTTCAGTTCTGCTCCTGGAGATCCACTGTATGTTTCTGCAGATTGGTTCCAGCTATACAGCACACCTTCCAAACTTTCAGTTGAACTCAACAGATCAGCAGCGGTGCTTGTTTTGAGGTTGGAACTAAGCTCTGTAGTTAGATTTACAAAAACAACTGTATTGTGTATTGATGTAATTATGCTATATACTATGTCCCTATGTGTTTCTAATCACAATAAACGATTCAACCTCAGTATCAAAGATAATTTGATTAAATGTGCATAGATAGATAGATAGAATCATTGCATAATAATTTTGTATTGAGTCATTTTGTGTTTTCAAATTGTGAAAATAAAATAGATGAAGTAAACTGAGCACTTTTTTGTGTGTTCACTCCATCATTCACCTGTTTGGCCTCGTCTCACTGGTCACGTCTCTGGAGTCTGTGTTCGTGCTGATGAGACGGCAGACCTTTACACTCATCTCTCAATCTCAAGACTTTCTCTCTCCACTCATCGCTCCATCAGTGCTGTCCCAGTGGGCTTGAGTGATATAACAGGATATAACTTAGATACCCTGCCTATTAAAAACTACCCTAACCTCCTTACTGTAACTGTCTTCATCTCCGTCACTCCTCTTTTTTAATGCCCCACTCTGACTTTCTTTTTAGTTCTGTGACCTCATCTTCTTTGTTGAACTTAAGATTTCCAGCATCTGAAATTTAAAAAGGTTTGTTAAAGAAATCAAATGCTTTGAGAAATGCTTGCTTGTCATGTGTTGTTGAATATAATGTAGATCTTTATCTCTCTCTCCCTTCTTCACTTCTTGAGGTCAGAGTGTACTATGCTATTGATATCATGGCTAAAAATACTTTATCATGAGGCTGAGGCCACTATGCAATGTAATGGGACTAATAGAGAAAAAACTGAGAAAGGATGAGATGAGGCTTGACTCCATCAGGGATGATGACAAATGTGAGCATTTATCTGAGCTTTTTTTCTGAATTTAAAGTGTATGCGTCTTTGCAGATCAGAAAGAAACATCACAAATGCAATCTTTGTAATATCTCAATTGTTTCTCTCAGACTTTTGCTTTTGTCGGCTGTTTCTCAGATGTTTCTTCTGAAAAAAAGACCCCAGTAATCCTACATTTATCTCACTAAGAGTTTCAAAAGAAACATTGTCATCATTCTGCACATTTTCTTTTGTTAAATCCAACAAAGATTCAGTGACATGTAAATCTTGGATGTCGCTGCAAAGACCCTTTGAATTATGACAAATTGTTAAGGGAAATTGCACTAATTACTAATGTAAAGAGAAAATGAGTACTCTGTCTTCTTTTTCTGACTGACTCATTTAAATTATGCTGCTCTCTGTATTGTCTTCTCACAATACATATTGACCAATCTGTCTTTCCTTCCATACCTGAACTAATTTACTTAAGTTCTCTGTCTCTTTATGGGAGAGTGCTGGAATTTGGCAGGTCTACACTTTTACATAGACACCAATTTCATTCACACACTTGGATGCACCAATGTTAAAATTCTAATTAAAGAGCCAATCATTATTTTCTATATTGTATTATTTAAAAATATATATATTTAAATAAAACAAAGATTATTGGAATACAAAATACTATTTCAGTCTTTCTAGCTCAAAATTTCACGTTTAATTCAGTGTTGTCGTTTCTTTGTAAATATTTGTGAAATTTATTAGCAATGTCCCGGTGAAAATGGTTTCAGAGTAAATCCTACTCCTTTTTTTCAATGCAGTGTTATTAAATTATTAGCTTTTTAGCTATTGGCTCAGATTATCTTAAAGTGTGATCTAAACGCAAAAACGGATAAAATGAGTATGAATATCCTTTACTGGCTGTTATATATCCAGTATAGAATAAAACTAAACCGATAAACAAACAATAAATAAATAAACTCTCTTATATCGGCATATTTGTACGCCATAAATGGTTTCTTATCAAAAGCACTGACACCACTCATTAGCTTCATACCATCTTTCCATCCATCCAAAATGCAAAAGTACATTTTCCATTGCGCATTACTACGCACAACGTCTGCGTTACTTTTTGCTTTCTGTCGTTTTGCTGGGATAAAACGAGGGACGGTAAGCGTGAAGATGTGAGGTAGGAGAAGATAACGGGGTATCAGTGGGAAATACGCACTTAAGAGAGACAACGAAAGAGGGAGGGAGAGAGAGAGCGCGGATATTTTGCAAGGCACCCCTGGTGTGAAGCTTGTGCCTGCGCGCTCGCTGCATACTTGTCAGCTGCACGTGCACGGGTAGGGTGAGTACAGTCTGCTTTCATTGTTCTTTACTGTTCTCAGCTAATGCGAGTCAAAACACATTTTAACTTTTGTCAGGTGTTACAGTCAGAAGTTAAAGAAAACGAACGTTTATGTGTCTGCGGCTGCACGTCGACCGAGTTATCAGGCGCGTTTCCTTAATCCCAGCAGGTCTGTGAGCGAGTCGCATGTTGTGTCGATACGTGAGGTGAAGATTTATCGTGTAAGAGAGTTGTTTGTGGTCCGTTGTGAATTGTAAAGCTCCAGGGTCATTTAAGAGACTGGCATGCAGTGAATTCTACTGACATTTCAAGCTGTTGAGCATTTTTGTGTAAGGCAGAAGTGAGTGAATGGTAGCTGAGGTGGTTGAAACTGTAACTGGCTCAGTCAGGTGCCCCAGGAGACGCGCACTGGCATGTAGGTGGGAACTCCATCATTACTGGGCCAAGGTCTTTCCATACATTAGCCTACATCTGGCTTGGCACTCTCTGTCTTCTCTCTGTCCCCGTTCCTAGCTGTACTGTATGTCTTTCGTTCACAACGTATTTATTGTAATACATTCAGATATCTACTAAATATCGTAGTGTTTGCAAAAATATGCAAAAAAATATTTAAAGAGACAGTTCACCCAAAAATGAACATTCTGTCATTTACTCACCCTTCTGACGTTCCAAATCTGTAGACTTTCTTGCTTCTGTGGAACATAAAAGATCTTTCTAAATCGTGTTTGTCCATACAATGAAAGTCAGTGGGGTCCAAAAAACACTGGACCTCACTGACTTTGATTTTTTGGTCAAAAATAAATTTTTCTAAATATCTCCTGGGGTTGACTGTTCCTTGAATATTTTGGATCAAGTGCACTTACTGTAACCCACACTGACATCATTCACACTTTAAAGGGATAGTTCACCCAAAAAATGAAAAGAAGAAAAAGAACTGGAAGTCATTGGCTACAAGCAACTGTTTAGTTAGTTACCAACATTCTTCATAATATCTTCTTTTGTGTTCAACAGAAGAAAGAATTTCATATTGTTTGGAACAGCATGAGGGTGAGTAAATGATGATAACATTTTCATTTTTGGATGAACTATCCCTTTAAGTACATACTTTGTGTGTCACCAAGCTCAAGGGAGTTTGAAGTATAGGAAAATTACCTCAAGTTGTGTCAGTGAACAAAGATTTCCTTAAAGGCAAAGGTCAAGATCAGGCCAAATCTGACGTGTAGACCCCACAAAAATGCAAAAACATGAAAATGAAATTAAAAAAAAAAAGTAATCTGTGGCTGACCGTGCAAGTTTGAGGTCGAACTTGGGCGGACTGATTTTGTCATGAAGTAACCTCACTTCTACATCAGTACACACGGCCTTGAGGGGGGCAAAAGAGCTGTGGGCAAAAGTGTTCAGCGAAAAAAAAACTCGGTGTAGACGGTCAAGCTGGATTTTGACATTGTTGGTCTCTGCCTCTGTTGTGTTTGCTTCAGAGCACTTGGCACCAGCACTTTTCCTCCACAGCGTTTACGCTGTGCCTTTTTTCATTGCATTGCAAATTCTGTCCATCATTTGCTGAGGTTCATCTTCTGTTGACTGCTGGTGTTAAAGCTTGTGTCATTCTATGCGGCAGGATGAACGGCAAAAGGTCAAACTCTCTGATATTCACATAGATAGTACTAAAGTCTCATCTAGACACTTGAGATTCATTTTGGAAGCCAAGAGTCTCGGTCTCCTTTTTTCTCTTTCTTTCTCTTTCTTTTTCTCCCTCTCTTGTTGCTCAGGGTGCTGCTCTGAATCACCAGCTCGGAGATACACACAGGAAATGACAGCATGAAAACACACACACACACACACACACACATACTCAGACACATTCTCTCACACACACTTTATACAGCCTCTTCAAAAATATCCATCATAAAAGACGCCATAGCAGCATAAGCTAAGTGACTGTGGAGACAGGAAACTGATTCTTTCAACCTCACGCATATAACCAAATAACAGCATTCATTGCATTAATCACATGTCAGATCGTTAGCTTTAAACATGTAGAGAGTGGATGACAGGACGAAAGTGTTCCTGTATCAGCTTGGCACAGATGCAGAGACAATGACAGAGAGCAATACGCACATTTCGCTTTGCAAAGACCTTACACATCCATTCACAAATGAGACAAAAATCATCCCTCATTAATTAAGAATCGATCAGCTCTGCCCTGGGAGAATCAGAGAGGTGCACAGGGTCAGAAAGAGGATGTATACTTACATTTTCAACACATTTCACATAGAGAACACTAGTTCATAATGTACACTCTGATATTTACATACTGCCATTTTTAGTTAGTTGCCCCATATGGCCTCTCCTCATTCCAGTGCCTTTTCTTGCCCCGTCTCTGTTCCTTTACAGCCTGTACCTTTCTTTCTCAGTTTTAAAGAAGTGTTGCTATTGTTAATGAATACGATTAAAAAATAATTCAAATAAAGGTAAAAAAATATATAAATATTAAAATTATATATCATATATATTATATTCCATATAACATAAATATTAGATTAGATATTTACCTCTAAATGCCAGTGTGAATTAGTGAGCAGGGCAGGTGTGTGTTTACTCGTGTGTGTGTGTGTGTGTGTGTGTGTGTGTGTGTGTGTGTGTGTGTCTACATCTGTTTCTTTCGCCGTACGGATGAGGTCTGTCTCACAGTAAAGCTATGACTCATGACTCTGTAGGCGCTTGTGTGTGATGTGTGTGTTGTGCCATCTGAATCACTGCCAATCACGTTTCACGTTCTGCTTCAATGAATGCCACACATTAAGCCTGGTGAACTTTGACCTTTCGTGTGATTGGCTGATTACAGCCACAGTGGGACAGGAACTGTCTATCGTGATCTTTTACACTCCTCCTATCTGATTTCTCTTGGCATTTTCACTGGTGTACTGGAGAATAACGCAGAACTGTGTAGAAGTGTGTAGATTTTATGGTGCCATTTCACTCCCCGCTAATGTTTCTACTGTGATTTGGACCTTGGGTGCTGACGGTTGATATGTATGTGTGTGTGTGTATGTGCAGATGAGCCAACCACGCATTAAATTTGACCTGTGTGTGTGTGTCTACATCTGTTTCTTTCGCCGTACGGATGAGGTCTGTCTCACAGTAAAGCTATGACTCATGACTCTGTAGGCGCTTGTGTGTGATGTGTGTGTTGTGCCATCTGAATCACTGCCAATCACGTTTCACGTTCTGCTTCAATGAATGCCACACATTAAGCCTGGTGAACTTTGACCTTTCGTGTGATTGGCTGATTACAGCCACAGTGGGACAGGAACTGTCTATCGTGATCTTTTACACTCCTCCTATCTGATTTCTCTTGGCATTTTCACTGGTGTACTGGAGAATAACGCAGAACTGTGTAGAAGTGTGTAGATTTTATGGTGCCATTTCACTCCCCGCTAATGTTTCTACTGTGATTTGGACCTTGGGTGCTGACGGTTGATATGTATGTGTGTGTGTGTATGTGCAGATGAGCTCTTGCAGCAGCAGGGCTCTGACTCTGCTCTCCACAGTGTTTGGGGCATGCGGACTGCTGTTGGTGGGGGTTGCCGTGGCGACAGATTATTGGCTGCTGATGGAGGAGGGAATCGTACTGCAGCAGAACCAAACTGTCGATGTCAAGATGGCCTTGCATTCTGGCCTCTGGAGAGTGTGTTTCATAGCAGGTGCGGACACACAAATATTATACACTTTTTTTTTTTTTATGATAAAACTTTCGGATGTCAAGGATCCCCAAACATTGTGATATGTATGTATGTATGTATGTATGTATGTGCGTGTGTGTGTGTAAAAATGTTTATATATCTATATATGACCATTCTAAAGTTTGGGTCAATAAGATTTTTTTTTAAAGAAATTAATTCCTTTATTCAGCAAGGATACATTACATTGATCAAAATTGAGAGTAAAGGCATTTATAATGTTTCTATTTCAAATTAATGCTGTTCTTTTGAACTTTCTATTCATTAAGGAATCCTGAAAAAAAGTATCACATATATGTTTTCAACACTGATAATAATATAATGAAAATTTATAAAAATTTCTTTATCAGCACATCAGAATATTAGAATGATTTTTGAAGGATCATGTGACACTGACGACTGGAGTAATGGCTGCTGAAAATTCAGCTTTACCATCAAAGTAGTTAATTACATTTAAAATTAAAATAGAACATATTAAAATAGAAAACAGTTATTTTAAAATGTAATATTATTTCACAATATTTCTATTTTTACTATATATTTGATGAGCATAAGATACTTTTTTTTTTTTTTCAAAAGCATTAAATTTTTACCCACCCCAAACTTTTGAACGGTAGTGTAAATATTTCAAATATATTGTATGTTTTCATGTATAAAGACCCATTCATAATTTGTGGGAAACGTAGTGTGAAAAAGACAGTGTGTTGTGCAAAATTAAATAATTTTATAATTTAATAACTTATCATTCTACTGATGTCAAAGAAAATGATTAAAGTATTATTTTATTCATTATAATAAATATGTTGTACTTTGTATTAGGGTAAAAATGCATCTGCCTACTTAGAATTATTATTTTGTTTGTTTGTTTCATACTATTAAAATACTGTCAATAGAATAAAATAATCATGATTATTTCCATGATTTTTTTGTTTAAACAAAAATGACACATAAAAGTGATGATAATAATAATAATAATATTATAAAAACATAATATAATAATATTAAATGTGTATTTATGTAGTTCCTGTATTTTATATATAGGCCTATAAATATCTTTCATTATATCCTCTGTCTCACTGTTTTAGGTACAGAGAAAGGTAGATGTGTGGCCTCTGAGTATTTCACAGAGCCAGAGATTGAAATCACCACAGAAAACACTGCAAATATCCTCAGTGAGTGAACGTGACTTCAAATCAAAGTAACACATCCACATTTACACGCACAGCTCTCACACACATGTATTTGCTGTTCTGGCAGAGATGGTGCGGACAGCTACTCCCTTCCCTATGGTGTCCCTGTTTTTTTTTTATGATAAAACTTTCGGATGTCAAGGATCCCCAAACATTGTGATATGTATGTATGTATGTATGTATGTATGTGCGTGTGTGTGTGTAAAAATGTTTATATATCTATATATGACCATTCTAAAGTTTGGGTCAATAAGATTTTTTTTTAAAGAAATTAATTCCTTTATTCAGCAAGGATACATTACATTGATCAAAATTGAGAGTAAAGGCATTTATAATGTTTCTATTTCAAATTAATGCTGTTCTTTTGAACTTTCTATTCATTAAGGAATCCTGAAAAAAAGTATCACATATATGTTTTCAACACTGATAATAATATAATGAAAATTTATAAAAATTTCTTTATCAGCACATCAGAATATTAGAATGATTTTTGAAGGATCATGTGACACTGACGACTGGAGTAATGGCTGCTGAAAATTCAGCTTTACCATCAAAGTAGTTAATTACATTTAAAATTAAAATAGAACATATTAAAATAGAAAACAGTTATTTTAAAATGTAATATTATTTCACAATATTTCTATTTTTACTATATATTTGATGAGCATAAGATACTTTTTTTTTTTTTTCAAAAGCATTAAATTTTTACCCACCCCAAACTTTTGAACGGTAGTGTAAATATTTCAAATATATTGTATGTTTTCATGTATAAAGACCCATTCATAATTTGTGGGAAACGTAGTGTGAAAAAGACAGTGTGTTGTGCAAAATTAAATAATTTTATAATTTAATAACTTATCATTCTACTGATGTCAAAGAAAATGATTAAAGTATTATTTTATTCATTATAATAAATATGTTGTACTTTGTATTAGGGTAAAAATGCATCTGCCTACTTAGAATTATTATTTTGTTTGTTTGTTTCATACTATTAAAATACTGTCAATAGAATAAAATAATCATGATTATTTCCATGATTTTTTTGTTTAAACAAAAATGACACATAAAAGTGATGATAATAATAATAATAATATTATAAAAACATAATATAATAATATTAAATGTGTATTTATGTAGTTCCTGTATTTTATATATAGGCCTATAAATATCTTTCATTATATCCTCTGTCTCACTGTTTTAGGTACAGAGAAAGGTAGATGTGTGGCCTCTGAGTATTTCACAGAGCCAGAGATTGAAATCACCACAGAAAACACTGCAAATATCCTCAGTGAGTGAACGTGACTTCAAATCAAAGTAACACATCCACATTTACACGCACAGCTCTCACACACATGTATTTGCTGTTCTGGCAGAGATGGTGCGGACAGCTACTCCCTTCCCTATGGTGTCCCTGCTCTTCGTTTTCATGGCCTTCATCATCAGTAACGTGGGCCACATCCGTCCACAGCGCACCATTCTGGCCTTCGTTTCTGGAATCTTCTTCATCCTCTCAGGTAGCGGGAAACCGTTCCATCTGTAAGGTGGACACAACTGGTGCAATGAATCCATATTTTGTGACCCTTTATGAGTTATATCTAAAAAAAAAATCTCAGTTTTTAGACATTTTATATTTATATTGAATAAATAACGCGTTTAGGATAGGATAATCTATAATTATGTCATCACAAATGGGACTGGAGGAACATTCTTTTGATTAAGTCTCTTTCTAAAATACTCTTACAGTTAAAAATAGTTCAAAACTTATTTAATGCAGATCCTTTTTCAGGACAATTAAATGTGTGAGGATTTTGTGTTCTGTACTCATCAGAATGCAGCAGCACCATCTGTATTACATTATTGATGTCTCCTTAAATCATAAACCTGTGTCTAAGCATGAAATCTCTCCATCTGTTTATTATTTAGAAGTTTTTGGAACCAGTGGATGCAGTGATAAAGTTTATTTGGTGGAAGTGCTGTATTTTTATTGCATTAGTTATTCTGTAAAATAACACATCTATCATATGAGTAGCATGTCTTATAACCCTCTGTCACATAACCGCTCTCATTACACAGTTGCATATCCTTTGCTCTTATTATTTTCTCATGCAGTGTTCTAATACAGAGCAAAAACAATTATTCATGTAGGCACAACTTCCTGATGTGTCCCATATTATGTAAATGTGAAGATTAAACTCATCAGTCAATGGTGCCAGATTTATTTCCCAGTAGATACCTCAATTATCTGAGCATGCAATTCAGTGCTGCACCAGCAGAGGTCAGCAAATTTATAAAATATAAAACATGCTCATTTAGAGAGAATCAGACAGAGACCCTAGTAGGCATTGCAGCACAAATGTGTCTAAATATAAAGAGCTCATATACATACATTTAATGATGAACTTAAACTAACCATAAAATTATATTATGTATAAAATAATATACTGTATAATTTGATGATAAAAAATTAAAAAATGTCCACAAAGAAAACCTAGGATTTAGGTATATTTCAGGTATATTCCTTAATCAGACAAACAAATTTGTGACATTGGATCATTCTCAAATCACGCTGGAGAACATGATCAACTTGTGGACAAACTTGTGGAGTTCATGCACTGTCATTACATATAAAGAATGAAAATGTAAAGAAATATTTGTTACTATTTATTTAATTTTCTCTCAAATTGTTATGCATATTATATAATTTGTAATGAAAAAAAATTAAAAAGTGCTAAATAAATGCATTTTCCCTTTATGAATTAGGTTTGAACTCCACTGTAAACATGCATGAAATAGCACTTTAACAACAGATCATAGTAAGAGACTAACCCTAACCTGAATGTAGAACTTATTTGTATGCAGATGCCACTGTTGTTTACTGCATCACTGCCTCAACCTTGCACATGGCCAGAAAAGACCTTCAACTTTATCGAAAACACCTCTCTCCTCCTGCAGCACAAACTTCCTGACAGACTGCCCTTAAGAAACACCTTTTTACTTGTCCTTTTCTCTCTGTGTTCTCTATCAGCCTGCCGCTGAATATGTAATGGGTATTTCAGACTGCTCGGGGCTGATAAAAGTGCTTCAGTTGAAAGAAACCATTAAAAAGTAAAGATCAAGTGCGCTGATAGTGCCTTTAGATGGAGCGGCTGTGAAATGTAGCTGATGTTTGCAGGCAATGTTGTGTTTTTGTTTTGTGTATGTGGGTGAGAGAGTTGGTCATTCGGCTGTTGTGATAAATATTACAGGCATTTCTCGGTTTGTGCATGTTGTCAGAGCTTTTCTCGCCCTGTTACTCAGTTTCACCATCATTCTCTGTCCAAACCTGCACACATACTGACATACCTCTGCTCCTGACAATCCACTTGTTAATGGAATGGTTCACCTAAAAATTTAAATTTGCTGAAAATGTACTCCCCCCTCAGGCCATTTATGGCCATTGGAGAAATTTAGCATTACATCACTTTCTCATCAATGGATCCTCTGCAGTGAATGGGTGCCGTCAGAATGAGAGCCCAAACAGCTGATAAAAACATCACAATAATCCACAAGTAATCCAGTCAAATCCAGTCCATCAACTAACATCATGTGAAGTGGAAATCTCTGTGTTTGTAAGAAACAAATCCATTACTTTTTTAACTTCATGTGAGTCCTCTATCCATAATATTATTTTCTCCAGTGAAAAAGTTGTCAAGTCTGAATCAGGAGAGAAATATGCATAGGTCAAGCACTGTTTACAAGCGAAAACAGTCCAAAACAGTTCAAAGTTCTGTCTGTGAATTTTGATGTTAGAGGACGACAGGGAATGGACTTTCACTGGTGGAAGCATTATTGTGGATTATGGACAGTTTGGCCAGAAGCAATGGTTTAAAGTTAAAATGCCTTAATGTGGGATTTTTGTTATTATTATTATTATTATTACAGACATGCAGCTCTTCCCCTCATAAGATGTTAATTGATGGACTGGAGTCGTGTGGATTACTTGTGGATTATTGTAATGTTTTTATCAGATGTTTGAACTCTTATTCTGACGGCACCCATTCACTGCAAAGGAACCATTGGTGAACAAGTGATGTAATGCTAAATATCTCCAAATCTTTTCAGATGAAAAGACTAACTCTTCTACATCTTGGATGGCCTGAGGGTGAGTAATTTTAAAGCAAGTTTTTTGGCTGAACTATTCTTTTAAGTTGCAACGTAAGGTATAATAAATCCTGGTCCAAGCCTCAACTCAGTTCAGTTCAAATCTCAACAGCTGTTTATGAGCACTATTTATTACAAATTTAGGCTAAGCTTTTAAAAACTCACGGTGTACAGTCTCCGGGCTCACAGTGTTCTGGACAGCAATATTTGAATGATTCATAAAAGATGAATCACTGTCTGACCATCAGGAATTTCAGTATGGATATAAAGGTTAGGATTATGATTTTTTGGTAAAATTACAGCACACAGTGAGTGTATGTTAGCATTGTTGTTTGCTTTTGGCATCTAAAAGAGCGTTTAACAAGCAGATTTATCTCCTCTGTCGTCCATGCATCTCTCCTAGCCCGCTGTGCCTGCAGTGAGGAGGGTTTGGGGCTGTGATTTATTTGGATGGAGCTGATGTCCTCTCATCAGTGGCCGGGCAGAGCCCTGGAGTGTGTTCAGTACTTGTGTGTGTCTGTTGAGTTGGCCGAGGGTGATCAGTATGTCCTCAGGGGCCCGACAGGAAGACTGATGTCCTCATCACCGCGTAGTTATTTAACTATATTGTTTAGTTCTGTTGTTGTTATTTCTCTAGTTTTCATACAGCTGTATTTAACACTGTTATTCAGCAGGTGGCAGCCGGGATCGTGGTGGTGGTCTGTTGATTTTTCTTCACTCATTTGTTATTCTCACTCTCTCTTTCTCTCAGGGTTGAGTCTGGTGGTGGGGTTGGTGCTGTATATCTCCAGTATCAATGATGAAGTAATGAACAGGCCGCGGGAGCCAGAGCAGTTCTTTAACTACCACTACGGCTGGTCCTTTGCTTTTGCTGCCAGCTCCTTCCTGCTCAAAGAGGTCAGGGGATAAAATTTCAGTCCAAAATATCAGATCATCTGCCTTTTTGTATGTAATTTTTTGCTCAGAGTAAATTCAAGCCCCTTGGCCTTGAATGGCCAAGATGTAGACATATTTCTTGTGAAAGCTCCTATGGCTTGAATGTATCCATGCTTCTAGGCCCGAGGGGCTTAACAAATGATGGTACTGTAATTGTCACTTGATGCTGCTGAAGCAGATGCTTTTAACATGACCCTGCCCTGACATACACTTCAGTCGAAGGCAGAAGCTTCGAGTGCGCTCTCTTAATGTATTATGAATTTGGAGATTCAAATGTGCTCCATTTTAGTTACTCCTCAAGGCCTGAAAACTGTGTTTGGAGCACTTGATCCTATTGTTTCATTGACAGCAAGAGGAAAAAGTTAAGAATCCTGAGCTCAAGGAGGTCAGTGTAAAGGATTTTCAACATGTACAGTCAAACCAAAATGTATTCAGACACCTTCAACATTTCACACATCATCACAGTTTATTCGCTATAGTTTAGAAAATGGTAATAAAATATGACAGTGGATCGCTGGATCGGCTTTCACCGTGGACGAAGCGGAGTCCAGCCCAGGGTCGTCACATGTGGTTGCCGCAAGACCGCCGGCCTCCGCTCACTCAAGCCCGCTGGCCGTGCCGTTCTCTAGCCCGCCGTGTGTGATGCTATTCAAACACGAGTTTTGAGCAGTGTAGAGTAGCACTTGTTGTTTGTCATTTCTACGATCACAAATGCACAAAAAAACATGGTTTTATGTTTACGCAGCACGATGCAACGTGTAAAAAGACAGTATAAGTCATTATAATCCGTAATTATG